CATTCATACGGAATACTGCTTAACCAAGCAAAATGCAACTTTGGTAAACAAGAAGTCTCTTTTCTAGGTTATTCTGTCTCGGCAAATGGAATACGCCCTTTACCCGACAGAGTAACAGCAATCTCCAATTTCCCCAAGCCTACTACCGCAAAACAATTGCGACGATTCCTGGGTATGCTCAACTTTTACAGAAAGTTCCTGCGTAACGCTGCCCGCACTCATTCTGCTCTGAATGAACTTTTATTGGGAAAATAAAAGGAAATGCACTACTACAATGGAATCCCACAGCCAACGAGGCATTCAATTCAAGTAAGGAGCAACTGGCGCAGACGACTCTCCTGCACCATCCACAACCAGATGCTACCTTAGCAATTTCGTTCCATCTCTTTCTTATGTTGTACCACAATTGTGACCGCGGTATGTCCATTAGTAAACGTCGGTGCTTAGTACTATATTGCTAGTAGGAGTCTAGAAAAAGATGACGATCCAACGGTGCAGACATATATAAGTCTGTCTCTCTCATTTAGACTTTGAACGTTGTGCGTATGTTCGAGAAGCTACCACGCATACGAAAACTTGTCTACTCTGACTAAATTATAAGCAATTATAAGCTTTGAGAGATGAGGGCTTCTTCCACTACAGTCGCAACGCTTGCGCATAACACATAAGGTGTAAACGAGTGAGAAGAAGTGTGTAGTTGCTGTCTCTCTTCTCCTCTCGACAATGCCACCACTTACGGGGACCAGCAATATAAGACTATTACGTATGTGTTCACGTCAAGAGATCGTCATGATTTTCCATATATATATAATACTCCTATATTGCTAGTAGGGGTCTAGAAAAAAATGACGACCCAACGGTGCAGACATATATGCGTCTGTCTCTCTTGTAACTACTTCAAGTATTACGCGAATGCTCGACAATTGAACATGCCTATAAGCGCACATTATTTACCCCACCAGCCTCGTGACGATTGCGCACGAGTCGAGTAATCTAAAAAGAGACAGAAGTAGTCGTTTGTCTCACTTACTCCGTGACTCCGTATAGGAGTATTATATATATGTGATTTTGAACGTTGATGGTGTCCATTTTCGGTCTATCGCACTACTAATCCTCTACTAATACTACTAATAATACGTTAGTAAATTTAAGTAAACGCATTTCTAAGTGAAGCTTAACGATCGCACGACTAAACAGTCACGCGATTCAAGCGAATTCCACTACAGTAGAGCGGCAGTGGTCCTACGTTTATGAAGCACTGTTGCCGTGTGAAAACATCAATTTAAAACAGTGGATTTAAAAACAATCGTCCTACAGTAGGGTTAGCGCTTAAGTTAAGAAGCACTGCAAAAAGTAGTTTGTGTGAAAAAACTCTTAAATTATGAAAGAGCGCGAACCTGTAACTGTTTGTTTGTATTATAGGATCTTTTAAACACACTATATTGAACAAATACATACACTTGTGAACGCCGTTGGAAAATCACTCGTTTTTCGCAAAAATACACAAAACAAACCTGCTCAATCTAATAAGGTTTACGTTTTGAATTAAATTCGTTCGCTTGGCATTAAGTTTTTGTTCTCACATTTAGTTCTCTTGATTTTCACGTATTATTACAAATGAAGATGATTATCCATGGAAAACATAGAATGGATGATGATCATAGTCATAGACAAAATTAATGCTAAAAGATATACACGATGAAGATTACATGAATCATCTATAGTTATAGATCGTCATAGATTGGTATAATTATGGATATAATTATTCTATAGTCTTAAAGTGTCACCCTCGGTTTTTCTTATTTGTAAATGCTCGTCTATGGTAATGGCAGTAGTTTATTCTGTTTATTATTGTGTTCAATAATAACAATATCTAAACCAATGTTTATTATTCATTCATTTTCAGCGTTCGTTTAAAACTGTTCTTATACCTAATGGCAGAAGCTTCGTCAGTGGTAGTAAATGGTGATGAGCTGGATAAACAAAAAGGTTAGGTGCAAGTTTAAAAAAATTGAGTGAATGAGTATAATATGACTATCTTGCAGACGTAAATCTTCCAGAGTGTGCTGTTTGTCTTCAAACATGTGTGCATCCGTCGGAGTTGCCATGTGGGCATGTGTTTTGTTTTTTATGTATAAAGGGTATGGCAAATCAGAGCAAACGATGCGCTATGTGTAGACAGGAGATACCGCGAGATTTTGTAGACCGCCCTAAATTGCTTCAATCTCCTGATAATGCTGAAAGCTATGATGATGGCTATCAATGGTTTTATGAAGGTCGAAATGGTAAGTGCAACTTTAGTAGTTTTGTTAAAAGTGATATTTGAAATACCTTTTAAGGTTGGTGGAGGTATGATCCTCGTACATCTGAAGATATTGAGAACGTTTATAAACTAAAAAAGACTGTTTTTGAAACTATTATTTGTGGAATCAATTATGTAATTGATTTGGAAAATTTGGTTCAATATCCTAAACAAAATCCAACTAAAAAACGTTTTATAAAACGTGCTAAAAATTTTGAATTAAATGTACTTGGTGAAGCTGGGCTTAAATGATATTTTTTTATTTGTTCCTTAGAAAGTAACAATTTTTATAATATGTCATAATGAGTAGTATATTACCAGTGTCTAATTTAAATTAAATTATTAAAAAATTGCATTTCTAATTTTTAAGTAAAATAAAGAAAATTAAAATAATTTTTGTTTAATTTAATCATTAAATATATAACCAAAAATGAATTATGCTTGTCATTTTTCATGAAATTGTACTGCAAATTATCATTTGAACTATATGAAGCATAATCTTAAAACACTGCCATTCCATCTCAGGTTGGTGGCAATATGATGAAAGAACTAGTAAAGAACTAGAAACTTCCTATAAAGAAGGCAAAAGTACTTGTGAACTTCTAATAGCTGGATTTTTATATGTGGTTGATTTAGAATGTATGATTCAGATGAGAAAAACTGATCCACTTAGGAGACGACGAATAAAAAGAGATTTAGCAACTGTGCCGAAAAAAGGTACTCTAGTTTTTTATCAGTACCTATTTTATCATAAATTTGATATATAATTCCAGGTGTGGCAGGTTTAAGAATTGACACTGATTTGTCTGAGTATATAATAAACCATTCAGAAACACAAAGTTCTTCCAGTCAAGTTGACAGGCAGACTGACAATTTAATACCTATTACTCCCACAAATACCCCACAAACACCTGTAAGTGGAGAAGAATCACCTCAAGTGGATGATGTAGAGACAACAATGGAAAGGATAAGAACTCTTAGATTAGAGGTGAATGAAAGCAGGCCTCATTACATGCTTGACAATGGTTATGAAGAAGAGAATTCTTAAATTTCATAAAAATATATATTAATGATATAATACTCATTACACTGATCGTGAATCAGTTGCATAAGAATTAATAAATTGGTGCTGGATGTAAGATAAAAATTGTTCTTTCAAAATTTCAAAAATGAGTAGCAAATATGTTTATTTCTATTACATCATTTTTGATTTTGTATTAAAATTTAACACTACAAAGTGTTAATATTTTTAATTACAAAAAATGAAAACTAAATGTGCTTAAAAATTGGTTTTCAGACTTCAGATATTTCTAAAAAAAATGAAGTTATAAACTCCATGTATTGACTGAAGTGTTCTGAATAATAAAAGTTTCATTTTAAATCATGTAAAGCTTGGTTGTTACAGAGACGAGAGATTCTGGGAATCCGTTTTTTTCCTAGTAGAGGCAGTCCACGTAATTTCAGTACAGCAAGGACTGGTAGAGATCAGTTCCTTGTAGTTCTATGTTGAGAACAAACTTGTTTTTTATATTTTCAAGTTACGACAACCAATCTGATGATGGGCTGTTTCCAAATTCCATGTTGTACTTACCTACATTGTTCTGTTTCAAATTTTTAGTAGATAGAGCTAGAAACAACATTTAGCAATGAAGAAGACACTCCTTTCTATTCTGAGCTAAACTTCGCATTTCCCTAAAACTAGAACATTCCACATTCTTAACTATTTGCGAACAGTAATCTAATCTAGGTCTACCTCTACTCCTCCTAACTGCTGTTTCTGCCTCTTATACGTCTCTGACTAGACCTTCACGCCTGAGAAGGTGTCCTACCAACCTATCTCGCCTATTTCTTATTGACTTCCGTAGAGTATTCTGTTCTCCTATTCTTACCTTTATATACTTCTATTTTGCACCCGTACAGAGTCGCGCTCCAAACATACACGTTTCGAGTTTCTAAATTAATCGGCCTGTCTTGTACATTTTCTTGGTGCGCAAAATTCATTATAGTTTTACAAAATATATGCTATAATGGTTAAAGTAATGAAAACCAATGTATTGAAAAAAAATATTGTATTTGTGCATCCACATATTCAATAATAACTGTCGAAAGTATGAGAATAAATTAACTTTGATTTTAAGACAGTATTCTCGAGAATATATGAAAAATATTACATGTTTTGTTAATGAGTTTACAGTTGAGTTCAAAAAAATATCTATCTATAGTGGATCTAAGTCTAATACGAAAGTGTAAAATTTTATATGCGGTCCACGAAGTTATGATGTATTTCCAAAGTGTCCACAAGATCATTTGGGTTAAAACCCCTGGTATAGCACATCACATGAACCCATCAAGTGACAACGGTGGTGTTAGCCATCAGTCGACTTTTTCGGTAATCCACGACACATCAGGAAATAGAAGCCACTATTTATTTCAAACATTATGTTGAATGGAAATGGTAATAATCAAATGTTTAATGATTTTATTAATAAGAACAAGTGTCACAAACATAAATGTTTAGGTTTTTAATTCATGAGCACGCTGCGTGAACCCAACGATAGTTATACAGCGGAACAACAGGCTACCATCCTTACCGGAGTCATAACAGATAAAACATAATTCCGATTCATGTTCGTCGTTTTAGCGATTGTTACGTAGGTCTTTGTTATGTATTCTGAGACCGCCACTAAGGGGAAATGAGAGCCACTATAATTCCGATTACCCCCTTTATTTACAAAATAATTAATTGAATATAATAAAGATACATGAATAAACATATAAAAAAAATTGCAACGAGTTGTTCATCTCTGTATCAATTGCTATATTAAAATCAATAAAACATTAAATTTACCTACAGTATATTTTATAATAAGCATATGTGCGTTATAGAAATAATGCAATAAAGAAGTACTTTATTGTTACATAGTATCCATTAGTTCTTATTTAGGTCAATGGTATAAAATTGGTACATCTAAATTATTTATTTAAAATTACAAGCTAACATCTACATCCCTACTGGGTTAGTTGCTCAATTTGCAATCGTTTAAATAAAGAAATCAATAATGATCAGAATAGTCGAATTCAAGATCACCAAAAAGTTAATAATGCTAGATGGTGAGGCGACTTGCTGTCATCACTTACTCTGTAATGGTTCCCTACCATTTTCTACGTTCCTTAACTATACATTATGTCTGATCAGTACTCCGGAAAAATAAGGGAGGGGAAGGTACATGATAAAAAATGAGCCATCTCGAACCACTATATGATATCCATAAACATATACTCGTCATGGTGTCACCGGTCTTATATACGTGTAGATAGATCGGTGATTAACGCATTGCCCTCCGGCTTCCTCTACCGTTCTCCCCTACTATTAATAGTTTTTAAAGCTTCCTTTACAAGGTCTTACTTAAGCTGACTTTTAATCCAAAATGCGCCAATTAATTGCGTCAAAACTCCAATTCCAGCATGCTGTCAACTTTAAAAGTTCTTCTTTCATGGCTATATATGAAGATCAATCAGGTCATGGAACCATCCAAAATGGAATTTAATACTGAATATTTAATTACTTTTGAAGTGAAACTTTTTTACCAACGGTAGAAAGGAAATTTACTAGGGAAAACCCCGCAAAGTATAACGTCACGCGCCACGTGTGACCAAGAGTTAATTTACCGGGCTTCAGAAGCTAGGCCGATAGTAGCAACTAATAATTCGAAATATTGCTATTTCGACAAATTGTCAGCAGATCGCGTCTACGGTAAACTGTATATGTATTGCATATGTGTTTGTGTTTGTTTGTTTTAATTGGTAAACGGGGGTTGACCATTTTGAAATTAGTCTCATAACTGAATACTTTCAATTATGAATTAAAGCTGCCCCGCGCAATGTGACTCTATGTCCCCGTCATTCGTTTCTCCCGCCGCCTTTAGTATTTCGTCTGTCCTTTTACCTAGCCTATCATGCGCTTCGTTACATTTTAGCTTCTCTAAGTCAAGACGTCTCCTACCTTCCCTCTTTTTCAGAATTTTCAATTTAAGATTGGTCTTCATAACTACTAAGTTATGACCGCTATCTATATCTGCTCATGGATAACTCCTACAGTCCTTCAATGGATTTTTAAATATTTGCCTAACAAGTATGTAATCTAACTGATATCTCCCTAAATCACCTGGCATCTTCCATCTTTAGCGCCTCCTAACGTGATGGTTGAATAAAGTATTCGCGACGGTTATGTTTATCGCAAAATTCTATCAGCCTATCTCCCCTATCATTCCTATTGCCTAATCCAAAAGAACCTGCTATTGCACCCACTTTACCTTCACCTATTACTGCGTTAAAGTCTCCTAAAACTATTGGGTTTTCCTGTCCTTTCACTGAACGTAACACGTCTTCTACATCTGCATAAACCGCTTCTACGTCTTCATCGATGTAAGATGATACCGTTTTTACCGGCTTTGAGTTTAATTTAACCATAACTATCCTATCGCTTTCTTGTAAATAACTTTCTACACTCTGTCCTACTTTCCTACGCATTACAATTCCTACCCCCGAATTACCTTCTACCGATCCTTAGCCGTATGTCGTAATAATTTCTTGGCTCGAAAATAGTGAAGATGACGTATGGTTTCGGCGCAGGGCGTCCTAACAACGGCACTATCGTGAGAGAGATAGATATTGTTCTCTCCCTCACCACAAATCTGATCGGCAAGGCACGTCCATTAGTATATGTCGATGGGTAACAACCACATTTCGAACGCTTCTAACGTTTTCTTTCCCGCATGTTCCGCACCCGTACAGCGCCGAGTCCCAAACATACAGCTTTAGCAATCTTTTTCAAAGGCCATAGGACGATAAGCATTGTGAATCGGCCCCAGAGGAATATCTGGATAATTTTTTCAGGGGACATTGATACTAATGAGGTACGTTAATTTTGAAAATTATAGACCTCTATCTATTTTGGTTTTTGAATAAATTCAAAAAAACGAAAAATCAGAAAATAATTTTTTTCTCAAAAACGGCTCAATCGATTTAATTGAAATTTATACACGTTATGAAGGTATATAAGGGCTATACTCGGAAAAAATAGCAGCTCATAATCTTTATAATAACCATTAAAAACAGGCATTTTTTACCGAAATTATTTTTTTTCTTTATGATAATGTTCTAGAACAATTTTGAAATAAACTTTTTTTTATGCCCTTTTTAATATAGAATAACCCCTCAAATTCTTAAATCGATCAGAAAGGTACGCCATATTGAAAAACAAGAAAAACCGATTTTTTTTATATAAAAATCGATTTATTTTACTTTTTATACTTTTGAAACAAAAGAAAAGCGGGTTAAATGATTAATTTTATAAGTGCAAATAACATCAAATATTGAAAACAATAGTGTAATTGTTTTTTTAAGTCAAAATATTAAAAAAAGGAATTATAAACTATATTTAGATAAACCAAAAGATGACTCATTAATGTTAGTGATAGTCAACTATTTTGAATTTGAATTTGATAGTCTGGACATAGATCGAAAACCGAAGTAACGAGATAATACATCTTTTTCAAATGATTGTATCACTTGTTCACAATATTTTGAAACTAACTGCTCATTTTCTAATTGTAAAGTCGCTGATATCAATTTGTTTGAATTGTCGGTACGGAGTTTAAGTAAAAATACAATAAGAGCTTGAGTTACAGTACGAGTATCTGTATTTCTCATGATTCAATCATCCATCTTATCGAGCAGTGTAGAGTCACACTCAACAGCAAAGCTTTCC